AAAAGCGTATGCGGCGACTGAAGGAAATCTGGACGGCGAAGTCGTCGGAATTCCGCGAAGCTGTTGCGTCCCTGCTGGGATACAAACTGGACTTCCTTCCTAACGGTCGTGTCCGAGTCACTTCGATGTTCCATCTATCAGCTGCTTACAGACATGGTGACCATGACGCTCCATCCGACTCCCGGGGCCCAGGAAGCATGGGCAACGGCGAAGAAAATTCAATTATCTTCGACGGAGAAAACGGTACGATGAAGATCTCGGGTGGTCCCAACAGCCTCTTTGCCATGGAGATCAAGCACCTTATCAAGTTCTGGGTCGAGGAGAGGAAAGATATCCCTTGTTTCCTAGCTGCTATGACGCTGGACTTTTTCGATAAGACTACTAGGGCTGCGCGCATGTAAGATATATGAATCTGCCTAAGGGGCATGTGGTTTAGTTTTATTTTGGCCATGCAAATTTCAATGTGATTCCCCGGCACACACGCATTATGGTGCCATGTTATAACATTTCTCTGTTCATGAAGACTTGTGTCACCAATTTAAGGGTTGGTAGCAACTAGTAGTCCTTATAGTGGTTCAAGAAGGGCTAATTACGCTCTAGCGTCATAGGTACCGATCTAGCTTCCGTGGCAGTCTAGTCCGTATCCATGGCAACGTCTTCTACATATCACTACTAACTACTATCATCACGCTCAACGGCTGAACCCTAGTAGTAATTGAAAGAAGACGCAGTAAGCGCAGTGGCTATTTCAAGGACGACGTACGGCTGTAGCACCTAATTGCAAGGACACATGATAACGATACACTAAGGGGCATAATTCAATGCGAGAAGCTGAAGGAGGACAAGCAAGCGTAGACCAGTATCCCGTCTCCTTACCGTAATCAGACACCAACAAAGAATGACTTGAGGGTATTCAGTATTCAATTAGGATTTCTTGATAGGTGTTAGGTGCGGCCTGGCGATCCTCCTTCCTGAGTAGTGCTCATGTGCAGAGCATGCACAACCCTGATTACCCATTACAGTGGAACTAATAATAACATGAACGAGCAGCTTATTTACAGACCATTAACCAAGCTCAGCATGAGCTGGGAAAAAGGCCAGATAACGAGATTACATGACCAGGAAGGAAAGGATATCGGAAAAAGACAAAGGAAAATACAGCAGAAACGGCAGGAAAGATAGACTTGCTTTGCACAGGAGGATTGAAGTGTAGGGACATAGGGCGACACAGTAACGAGTACTGATTATGTTGATATACCGTGACGGGGAGGCTTTTTGACATATTTATCATGAGGTGCGAAAGGGCGACAGGACACGGCACGTAGGCTCACATCGTAGCCGAGGCCCTTGCGTTGAACAGTGTCTTTTGTTCGTACACGGGTGGTGCGCAGGTAAACGCAAGATGCGGACCCAGCCTTAAGATGAGACATATTTACCCCCGAGCAGTTTTCGGGCAGTCGGGACATTCTTCCATTCAACAGATGGCTGCAGTTCAGTAGTTTGACTGCCGGCCTCTTCGTCTGCAAAGGGATCAGAGCCCTTCACCAGATTATTCGGGGAAGCGGTGCTGATTCCCAGACGGGATCCATCATCAAGCGTGTGAACCTCGAACTTGGCATCGACCTTGCCCTGTCGTGGCCAGCTGGCTGTCGTCGAGAACCGGACCAGCAACTTGGCATCAGAGCCAGCCTTGACTTCAAGTTCAGGAATCTTCCAGGTCACTGCAGACTGCTTGCGACGGAATGTTGCACCGGTGTTCGGGTACATGACTGCTGCTGTGGCATGAGCCACTTCGCGCCCCTCCACAGGAGACGTGTCCAGATTTACTGTCAAAACCAGATTCCTGAGGGTAATTGAACCTCCTGGCGCAGACGTGAACGAGGAGTTGAGAGAATAGTAGATGATCGCACTGGCTTGGTGCTCTTCGAGATTCCACACTGGTTTGAAAATGACAGGGCAATAGGCTGCGGCAACGGAGGGCTCCATGTGAATTTGGTACTTGAAAGCTACCGTCGGCGAGGACCGAGCAATGCTAGCCAGGTTCACCTCATATTCACCCCTCTTTTCATCAAATTGATCCTTGCCTTTGTCTTCCGTCACGAAGTGTGGGTTTGCAGCCACCTTCTCAAGAATCTGGAAATTGTCAAGGCGAACCCGTGTGCTACCTGGAGTCACATCCGGTGTAGCATTGTATGCCAACGCAAGTTCGCCAACGACAAACGATTTGGATACTGCACCCTCAGTGAACCATGCACTGACTGTGTCTATGATAGATGCGTTCAGACCTGGCTCGTGAAGGTCGGGGTGCAAGACAGGACCCGGAGCACTATGTAGAGTATGAGACGAGCGAATCGAGGTCGTGTCGGACATGGCATGGTCGTCTGTAGCCGTGCTAGGCGAGGCAACATGCCTGGCTTGCAAAGATGGAGAGGTTGGAGCGGACGTATCCAAGGTTGATGGTATGGCAGGGAGGTCATTTCCTGGTGCAGGTGTAGGAATAAAGACAGTGTTACGGACATCGCGACGGCCACGTAAGGTTCCAGCATTTCGTCGGACACCACTCTGCTGAGCTCGCTGCATGGTAATATTAGCAACATGCGGTAGCAAAACATTCTAAACATAAAACCCACCATTCTGAGCTGATTAGCCATATCATCCATCGCTTGCTTGGCTTGATCCTCGTCCTCGAAGATTGGCTGGTCTCGTATTGTCAAATTCATCCCGGGCTCCTCCAATCTGAGGAAGTTATTAGCCAAAACAATACATTCTCAAAGTGACAAAAACTGCTTACCCGGCCGCCTCTCTTTGGGCTCTGGTAATCTCGTCAATGGTCTCCGGACGCTCCGTGAAACCTTCTGAGTCGACTCGTGGCTGGTCGGTAGATTAGCTTCGGGAATCACTGACAAGTAATCTTTCCTACTTACCTCATTGCGTGACACGCCAGCAGCGGCAGTAATTTCTTCAGAAGGAGCTTCGTGAGATGTTGCTCCGTTGGCGGTAGCCGGTGCTGACTGGGGCATTGCAGTGGATGTCGCGCCAGCGAATCCCTCATGATCATGAGATTCATTCGAGATAGCTGGAGGCTCAGTATCCTGAGTAGTCATGGCAGTGCTGGGGCGCTCCATTCCTTCGGTTGGGGTCTCCGGAATCTGCAACTCGCGCGAATCACCCCTCTTAAAGGAGGCAAACGGACTGCGGTGTTTTTTATCGGAGAAGAAGGGCCCGGCGCTAGAAGGCTGAACAATGCTCCTCCGTCGGTTCATGACGGTTCCCAGCCGTTTAAGGCCACCCAGGGGTGTATTGTGCCGGGGCTCGGGTGCTACGAGAAGGGCGTCAGAACTCCACATCGAGCGAATGGCACCAAAATACGGGGCTAGAGCAGTCGAAGATGCAAGATATGCTCACCTGGAGGCGTCCTAACTGGACCCGAATGTTCCGATCGCTGACTAGCAGCATCATCCTGCAGGCGTGGTGGAGGCGACAGAGGTGCTACTGGGGGAGGCGAGGTAGTTTGCTGTCTCCTCGGAACGACGGGTCTTCCTCCATTAATTTTCGCAGCAAATGTCTTGATCTCATCTGCAGTCTCTACGTTCAGAAGAACGTTCAGACAGCTTTCAGCAGCCTGACGGCAGCGCTCAACCTGATCCGTCTCATGGGTCTCCAATTGAGTGAGAGCATCTCGCAGGTGATTGAGACGGCCCTCATCTGCTGCCTGAAGCTGTTCGAAGACAAATGGCGCTCTGGAATCCCACTGCTGGCTAATTTCTTCTGCGGCGGCGACAGCGCTAGCCAGCTTATCGGCACCCTTCGGGCCCTTCTCCCTGGCCTTTTCTACTTTCTTCTGGGATGCTTCGTAGTTCTTGGCCAGTCCCGCAAGGTCGCTCTGGATACCAGTCATGGAAGACAATTCCCGATTTTTGGTGCTATACTCTCGCAGCGGACGTTCTACGTCCTCCTCGATTTTGTGGGCGAAAGTTTCGTGCGAAGAGGCGATCGATTCGGTGGCAGTGATAATGCGTTGCCACGGTATCTGGAAGACACTGTTCATGAAACTACTGTTAGTACAAGAATTGCAAACCCAAAGAATAATTTGAAAAGCCGGTCGTACCCGAGCGCTGCGCCATTGTCCAACTGTGGCCGATGCGCAAGTTTCCGCAGCCCTTGGGCATACAGTTCTTCAATGCGACGACGTTCCTATGAATTGGAAGATAGGTGTAAGCCACAGGAAGCGTATTCTATATATATCTTCAAGTAGAAGAGCGAACAGCTTACCTGGAGCCAGTCCGCGATGTCCGCATTGACTTTGTTTATGATGCGAATGCGATCATTGAGTACACTTGTAGCTTGGCCGGGCTGCAAAGAGGCCTGCAATATTGACGAGCAAATACCAGGTTAGATGTGTCTGGACATGGTAGGAAGTGGAAGTTGGGAGGACAGGGAGAAAAAAAGATAGGTGGGGTTATCTGGGGTCGAGGGGATCGTACCAGCAACGCTGGATACTCCTGCCGTGAGAGTTCCATCACTACACATAGGTCACAACCTTAGCAGAACGAGGGTCGGGGGCGCATAATAAGGAGGAATGAGACTGGGAAGGGATGAGCATCGAATGGGGGAGGCGATTGGACGAAGCACCACGCGGAACCGGGGGAAGGTTCAACAAGCAACGGAGGACAGCTGGAGTCGGAGGGAAGAGGATGTGATGGCCGATGGCTGATGGCTGATGACGATGATGGGTTGCAACGCCGGAACAACTGGGGCGGAGGTGCCGAATCGGCCCATGCCGCTCTCGGTAAGGCGCCACGGGAGTGTCACATGTCCGTCTGCCCGCCTTTTTTTGAGTTATTATGATAATAATAATATAATAACGGGGTATCTTTAAATAGTTATCTACTATACTACTTACTAGTAGAACTAGTGGATAGATCGAATATATCATCTATCATCTGTTACCTCTCATTTCTCTCTCTCTCTCTCTCTATAACTATATATCTCTATCTATCATGGCCACTCCCGATTGGAAAAAGACCCTTGGCTTCACAGATCGATTGTCTGCCATTCAATCGCTGTAAGTCTACTATCACCGGTGATCTCTCCCTGCATTGCGCTCTCTTATGTGGATATGAAGGAGCTGCTTCTGATACCCTTCAGTACTACCGCTTACCAGCGAGCTTCTTCCTCTGCTGCGTTCGCTGAAGCTCAGTCTCAAGCGAAGCGCTTCGAGACCGAAGCTTACGATCAAGCTGCATCAAAGGAGGAATATGACAGGCTATGTCAAGAAGCCATTGACAAAGCAGAGTCTTCGGGATCGGTTGCTCCCATCATCAGCAGCCCAGATCAACCTCAGAACGACACCGACGAATACCACTGGGAAGGGGGCCAAACCATCGGCCCATACCAATCATGTCTTCATCACTTCGATGGCCTTCATTCCATGATCTACAAGTCCAAGAATACCGACGGTAGCTTAGTGGCAGTCAAGGTCACTATACCTCACATGTTAACCCCACCACATGATGCTAAACGTGAGGTTCAACTTCTTCGTGATGCGGCTAGTCCTCGCGTAGTGCCTTTGCTGGACACTTTCAGCCTAGACGAGGGGCGACTAATCCTCGTGTTTCCTTTCATGAGATATGATCTGGAGCAACTACTTCGGCGAGATGCGTTGACTGCGGCGCAGACCAAGTCTCATCTGCGGGATATGTTCAGCGCATTAGCACATATCCACAAGCTGGGAATTATACACCGAGATATCAAGCCTTCCAATATTCTGCTTGATTCTCCTGAAGGACCGGCATATCTCGCAGACTTTGGGATCACATGGAAAGAAGGAAGCAAGGGATCTGAGCCTGCGGATCAAAAAATCACAGATGTTGGAACTACCTGTTACCGCCCCCCTGAGATTCTATTCGGCTTCAAGGCATATGGGACTGCTCTTGATCTTTGGGCAGCCGGTTGTGTTGTTGCCGAAGCGGTGGCTGTTGGGCATACGCAATTATTCGACTCGGGACCGGTGGGAAGCGACCTCTCACTCATCCAGTCAATCTTCACGACCCTGGGGACACCGGATGAAAAGACATGGCCTGTATGCAATCGAATTACCCCTTTCCTGTTGAGATGATATCAGGATATCGTGCTGATCGAAGTCAATCATAGGAGACGCAGAGTCTACCCGACTGGGGGAAGGTAGAATTCTACAAGTACCCTGCTAAACAATGGGACGAAATCCTTAGAGGGGCTTCTACCAAAGCCCGTAGCCTTGTCAGCGAACTGGTGCGCTATGAGAGCGGTCAGCGGTTGTCCGCAGAAGAGGTATGTGAAGACGAAAAGACAAACCGACGGATTCGACGAACCATTCCTTACAACGAAAACAGGCCTTGAAACACCCTTATTTCTCGAGTTCCTAAATCTTCAATATCCTTCTTCGAACCCCTTATTGAAGAGACGGCCACTGCGGCGATCCTTCACATGACTACACCACAGCAAAAATGCGATCTACATGGCTTTACGGGCTTCTCTTGAGCGTTCGCAGGCTGCCCCATTGGTGTGCCCACTATAGAACTCGCTAGGCGTTTCAGCACCCCGACAGACCGAAGTGCTGCAGACATTGTAGCAAGGAGCTGCTAACGCCCGTCAGGCATTAGCCTCGGCAGTAAGGCGAGAGAGTCCGGAGATTTCTGAAGGCGGGAGTATTATTAGTGTGGGCTGATATTCAGACAGCTGGCTAGCGCGGATTATTAGGCCGGAACCGAACGGAGGAGCACCGGTTAAATTTTGGAATCATTCCAAACGAAGACTGACGGGGTACGATTGTTCTGCTGGCCCTAGGGGTATAATCAGATTACAGTGTAGACCTAAAAAAAGGAAGGAAGGAACATGGAAGAGGAAACAGAGTTGAGAGTTGAGACCAAGTATGAGTAGTGTATCGGAATTATGATCTGATCCCAGGTATTTGACGCATGCAAGGGCAGCATGCTTTGTTTAGGCTAGACTCGCGAGGCTGCACGAACGTGGTGCTGCACCACAGCTACTATCAAAGCCAATGCCGGTGCGATGTTCAACAGCGGAAGGCAATTCCATTTGTCGGCCATGCACAAGGGTCGGACACTCGGAGGGAACCTACCTACAAAGTAACGTACCACCCCACTATCGCAGCCATTGGATGATTGTCATTTGCCAGGAGAAGCCGTGGTCAGGGATGTGGGTAACGCTAGGAAGGACCGGAGTTCAAGAAGGGGCTTGGCTAATTAATGAGCGGTGGCTCAGGGACCACCCAATGAATGAGAAAGTGAAGATCTCGTTTAATGCAACGGCGCTGGATCAAAATCCATTCAGCTTTGAAAACTTTGCATTTCCGCTAACGAGGTTAGTTATGGAATGATATCGTTGGGTTGTTAGTAGTCTAGTTGCTCAGAAGGGAGGTACCCAATGAGTTCAGAGTGACCACACTCAAACCCATGTCAAGAGAAAGACTGAGCAGGTAGCATTACATCTCAGTGAGCGTGCACAAGGACATCTGGTGTATCCCCTGTGTGAACGCCTTCAACGATGTACTGGTTCGGGAGCCGGGGGGAGAAGAAATGATGATCGAGGGGTTCGGCCCACACTAGCATCCATTTGTAGCCAGTATTCGCATTGCCTGTGATGCAGTTGTGCAGGAGAGAGTTTGGGGGGGAAAGAAGCGGGAGGTTCGGCAACCTCGTGATTACCTCTTGTGACGGTCAGAAAACCAGGAACCGTATCAAAATAGGACGAATCAGCGGGATGAAGTGCCTGAGGATTGAGCGGGACAAACCCCGTGATCCCCGCCTCAGCATGTTAGCGCAGACCAGGGCATACAGGCTGATACGCAGTTCTGATTGGCGGAGAGCCCCTCTTTTATGCTTTGACCTCATTTCGTTTAACTGTGGTTCCCGTAAGATGGTAATTTACCCGTATTTGGGAGCGATGCTCTCTTTCCCAGTACTTACTCTTGTCTTTGGGTCCCCTTCACTCTCTTTTTAGTTGGTTCACCACCTTCACTTCTCGCAAGCCCACGCTTGGGCGTGCTCACCTTCCCATTCATCCTTTAACTCTCCCTCCTTTCGTGCCTCTCGTCCTTCCTTTTGACCTTCGCGGCCTGGAAGCTCGCTGTCCTTCGTTTCAACCGATCTAGATCGGATGTGGCCCAGCCCTTTTTGAACTATATCTGGGGATTCTCAGACTTCCATTCTTTTCCCTCCCACATTCTTTTTAAACGCGCTTGCGCCCCTTATACGCCACTACGCGACTAGCTTATCTTGTCGGTGGTGTCAGAGACAACAAAGTAAAGCGATCTGTGTCACATATCATATCAACTGGTATCCGTTTTTTGATGCCAGTGAAACTACTCACAGACACTCTTTATCATTGAGCCTGCCTTCACATATATCTGCCTATTTTCTGCATTTGCTGTGTAGATACGGTACAAGTACGCGGGGCACCAATACATTCCCGTCACATTTGACTCTACTCTAGCTTATCACTAGAGGCCCAGTTAATTGCAGAATAGTTACAAGGCGCACAAGCCCTAAACTACCTCAACCATGGTGCATGCGCATGCGCACCGTGACCGTGTGCCCCATTTGAAGGGCCGAAGCCCGGATAATGATGCGGTGACAGTGGTCTATGTGACTATGAGTGCAGATTTTGATGGACCTGTTGGAGGCTATGTCACGGGAAGCAAGACTTCCTCAGAAAGCAGCAAGAACACAGCTGTTGGTATCGGCGCTCCTGTTAAAGCATCGAAATCGTCCTCGACCGCAAAAGGGACCGAGACGGCCGAGACGACTGAGGCAGCAGCAACACAGACAAAGGCTGAGACTCATGCTACCGCCACGAAGACTGCTGAGACCGCTGAGACCGGAATCACAACGGCACCCCAGCCAACAACCACCGAGGCGACCAAAGAGACGCAAAGCACGAGCCAAGATGAGACTACATCGGCAAATAGGACTACCTTTCAGACCAGTACTTCGTCTGCTACGTCTTCGGACTCATCTTCCGTATCCTCCCAAGGCAAGGCGGGACTGGAAAGTTCCGATGTCACTGGGTCCTCTGCGTCAGCATCCGCAACTGCAATTTCGGGATCAGGAGGGCTCTCTGGAGGTGCGAAAGCCGGCATTGCTATCGGTGTGATATTGGCGGTTGGCGTGGTTGCAGGTCTCGTCCTTCTCTGGGTCCGAAAGAAGAAACAGGAACAGAAAATCCAAAAGGAAGTAGCCGAAGATGAGAAGTTCTGGGGTTCAGATCCTGTCGCGCCACCACCACCTCCTCCGAAGCCCGAGCCGAAGAGTTCCCTGGATCCACCTCAACTCCAAGTCCGTCCAGTCACACAGTTTGCGCCATTCGCATCAGAATTCAGTGCTGGTGCTGGCTCTGCGGGCCCCTCTACGGTTGCTGCCGACGCTGCCGTCGCCTCCGGAGCAGTCGTTGCTTCAGGTGCAGCTGGCACACGCAACCTGACTGGAAATACCTCGCCGGTTCACACACCACAATCAAGTACCGCCAGTGCAAACCCCTTCAATGATCCAATCAATCCATTCAGTCACCCTTCCGAGGTCTCTCCACCTTCTACGTCCCACGGCTCCGTTACACAGCTTGGCTCCGTCCCAGAAGAATCTGCGGCTGCTGATCCCGCTGCAGAAGCAGCCACGGCAACCGGAATCGCTGTGACTGGTGTTGTAGCTGGTGCTGCTGTGGCCGCGGTTGCAGCCTCCAGCGCGTCAGATAAGGAGTTGCCCATTCGTCCTGAAAGTTCTATATCCAGCGTCTCATCTGAATCCAATTCCACCAATACTGGCCCAGATGGTCCTTCTAATGCCAATGCGGCCCCGGCTTCAGCTGCTCCTGCGGTCTCTCCTGTTCATTTATCTGAAGCGGCTGGACCAGTTCCAGTTCCAGTTCCAGTTCCAGTTCCCGCTCCCGCTCCTGCTCCTGCTCCTGCCCCATCCAATGTGCATCGCGTGCACTTGGATTTCGCCCCTTCAATGGCCGATGAACTGGAGCTACATGCTGGGGATCTCGTCAGACTCCTGCACGAGTACGACGATGGATGGGCTCTTTGTATTCGTATGGACCGCTCTCAACAAGGTGTTGTCCCTCGCTCATGTCTTTCCTCGCGTCCTTTGATGCCCCGGATGGGCCCGCCCCCGGGTGCTGCCCCTGGACCCCGAGGCCCTAATAGCCCCACGCCGGCTGGAAACATGATGCCGATGCCACGCTTTTATCCTCAAGAAGGTCGTCCAATGTCACCGGCTCGCCCAATGTCACCGGCCCGCCCCATGTCACCGGCTCGTCCAATGTCGCCGGCCCGCCCAATGCCTCCCGCTCACCCTGGTTACGCCGGTCCTCCGCAGCCGCAGCCGTATACTCAGCGTCCTATGTCTCCGGCGCAGTTCCCACAACCTCCAAGATCTTTCTCTCCCGGTCCCGGTCCGATGGTTCCTAGGTCTCTGAGCCCTGGGCCCTACGGACCCCCGGGAATGCAAGGTCCCCGGATGCCAGTCAACCAACGGATGCGTAGCAACAGCACAGGAGATGTGGCTGGACCGAACGCTCGAATGACAGGACTATCCGGACCGAGTCCTCTCGGAACTCCGCTCGGTCCAACTTCCATGCATCTAGCATCCCTGCATCCATCAGTCAACGCTGCACCAGCTTCGGCCACCATTGAGACAGTCGCCCCTGAACATAACCATGAGTGACGGGTCGTCTCCATGCCGAGCACTTGATACCATCATATGCCACGAGTGTCAACTGAACGCCGCTGGGCGGACGAACCTGCCACGATAAACACTGTATGCGTCTGCGACGAACGCTTCCTTACTGGATTGCGTTCCAAGTTTCATGAACATCCAACGCTTCCGGTCACGCGTTCCCTCATTGTTCTTTTCTTTTCTCATGCTGGTTTCATAATCGAAGCATACGAAACTATGTGTCTGGATACTTCTTTTTCTTCTTCTATCTTTACTTCTACTTCATGTGAATGACTCTTATACCACTTGTTACCCTTTTTCATTGGCCTTGATACCTCCTGCTTTCCTTTCTTTTTACTATGCACAAACGAAATTTAAATTAACTGTCTCTAAACCTGATCTACCTTTTGACTTTCTTCTGCCGGACACTTATGGGCAAATGACAGATGAAGAAAGACGTGAGGTCGACAGGACACTGAGCTATTTACTGTTTTGGGCGCTTCAATGTCTTGGAATTAATGATGTGCTCAAGATGGAGAATTTATTGCTACATAGTATTTAGATTACCAATCAAGAATAAATACAGTATTTAAATCACGGAATACGCTCCTTTCGTAGTTTATGGATCAGACAACTGGCAATGACGACCAGGTAGTAATGGCAACGTAGCTCGCTTGATATTAACACTCCCTTTCCGTCCCGTTCAGAGTCATCAACATCAGTCCGTTTTGTTAGTCTATATATGCATATGCTGGCTCCATCATCCGCCATATCCCCGCTAAAACTAGATACAAACCAGACCAGAAACGAACAATGACTACTCTTTCTATACGCCCACCAAGTCCTGCTCTGTCTTTTCGCTATCAAAGATGCGGAACCCCGCCACTTGCCAGAAGCAAGTTCACAATACTAATAATACCCTCGCCAAGGATCAATCCCGAAGCAAGGACCACAACAGATGAAGAGGCGGAATCCGCCTCTTTAGCAGCTGCCTGCTGCTGGTTATGAAGCCCGGTTGAAGATCCCGCACGCCCTTCGGCCGTCCATGAGTCGGATAAGTTTGTTTGGGTGTCGTCGGTGCTCGGGTCCGGCCCGCCGGCGGCGACTTTGTTCGAATGTCGCCGGGCCCACCACCAGGCAATTAACCCGCCGATGGCACGGGCTAAAGTGAAGGACGGAACGTTGAAAATTCCCACCGCTACGGCAATGCCGCCGGGAATGAAATCCTTCCAGGGGGCGGAGACATCTCTGCGACCGCCGTTGGCGATCGGCGATGAGGCGACAATGCGGAGGATGGTGATGGCTACGAAGATGATTCCGGCGACAAGAGATGCTTGCCATGCCATCGGTGGAAGGCCTTGGCCGGTGACTAGGCGGGCCGTGAAGATCCAGACGTATGCGGTGGGAGTTTGGAACATCGGACCGGGGACTTCGTATACGTTCACGTACATTTTGTAGACGGCGGTGGAGAGCACGGCGCCGACGAGACTGCCGATCATTTGGCCGTAGAATTGGGCCTTGGGGCTGGCACCAAGGAGATGTCCGGTTTTGAGATCCTGCATCATGTCTCCGGCTTGAAGGGCACCGGACTCGGATACGGCACCGGCGAGGAGGTTGGTGACTAAGGCGGTACGGCGGGAAAAGTGAGAGGCGGGTGTAGCCAGGGAGAAGAGCAACTGGGTTAGTTTGCTGATTCCGGAGACGGGGTTCAAGTCTGTTTCCCCTAGGGCGCGGACGCCCATGATGGAAAGGAGGACTGCCAGCAGGGTGGCAAGGCTGGAAAGCAGTGGAGACATTATGTCGCCAAATACGAAGTGCATGCAGACGACGTTGAGAATCAAAGTTAGAGGGAGGAGTATGATGACTGTTCGGTTGGATATAAGCTGGGATGGAGGCGCATCTTCATCCGCATCATCAACGGCGCTGTGTCTCCCGATGGAAGGGACAGTATGGCTCGGCACAGAAGACACCTCAGTGATGGGACTCAGAGCGGAATAAGATATGTACGAGTGATGATTGGAGGTTGTCGAGCCTCCAGATAGAACCCTCCGTCCAGAGCGGCTGTGGAGGAGCTTGTCTTTCATATTCGAAGCACGGGGTATTAGAGGCCTCACAACCAGCCAGCCAAGACTGACAAGAGAGTCGGCAAGCATAATGGCCAGTGAGATCCAGACGATCCAAGCCTTACTTCCATCTTCCCAACTGTCCACAGGCCCCGGGGCCCATCCGCGAGCCTTTGCAAGTGGCGAAAGAACACCCCAACCCAAGAATGCACCGAAGAGCATATGCATACAGGTCGAGGGGCCCATGATAATGCCCTGGCCAACATATGCGGGCGACGGATTCAGGGTCCAGAGCCAATTCTTAGCCAGATAAAGTCCCAGAATAGGAATATCGCGGACTTGGGGGACGAAATAGGAGAAAAGGGTCTGGCCTATTGTCAGTTGTAGATCCAATGTTCCCAGGCAATGAGCCTTACATAAATCCCGGAAACCGCGAAGGCGCCCACCAGGAGACGCATCTTGGACCTCCAGTCCTCTTGGACATTGCTATCATCACTAGAGCTGGCGTTGCCCAGCAGAACGCCGGTTTCCTCGGGTTCATGCGCCAAAGTCGATGCGTAGGATCTCTCCTCACGCCGTATGACACCCTCAACATCAGTCACCCGCTTCTTCGACTTCTCGTCGCCCTGGCCACTTCCGTGCAGCACCCTCAGCATCAAGGCTGAGGCTGTCCCACTCGGGAACTTCAACTTTTCCCGAACGATCACCTCCTTCCTCAGTGGGACGGCGAAAACGACGCCGAATAGGCAGACCCCCAAGCTCCAGAGGACGAGCTTCCAAAAGTTCAGCTTCAGAGGTCCGCCTTCGCCGGTACCACCATCTCCTGACGGGCCATCTTCGCCATCTTTGATCAGAAATTCCAATGCCGGGATGACCCCGACGAACCCACAGCCCAGCGGCATGGTCCCCACCGCCCCTGCTACTGTTTGTATGAGGACGTTCTCGATGGGTGTGAATGGATACGACAGGTATTTGGAGAAGACCTTGAAGACGGAGAAGCCAATTAGGGCAGATGGCATGGCCATGGTGCTGATCCATCCTGTCTGCAGTCCAAAGTATGTGTTGGAGAAGGTAATGAGAGCGCCGATAAGAAGGCCGACGAGCAGGGATCGCGTGGTGAAGCTTTGCGGGGAGGTTGCGGAGGAGCGAGAATCATCGGCGAAGGCTGCCCGGTCACCAAAGTCGACGGAGGACGTTAGCGGGGAGCCATCTCGGACTGCCCCATCCTCTTGACGGTCGCTGTTGGAGGCATTGCCTGCCATGGTGATGGATTGGTAGTTCATCGGATGCCGTCGCGGTTCAGGTTAGTCGAGCCAGCACGAGAGGAGGGCTCTCCTGTCACTGAAGAAGGAAAAGTCGGATCAACGAGCCATCACGCAAGGGACGGAGCGGAAAGCGGGGAGATAAGAGTAAGCCGCGAGGATGGCTGGGGAATCGATTGATGGAGCGATCGATAGCGCGATGGAAAAGCATCGCAGCTCATCCGATGATTAGTTGAGGATTCGCCATCATTTGCAGGCTCGATAACAGGCTGACTCAGCCAGCGATAAGAAGCAACCAAACAAAGAGAAAGAGAGCATCATCATCATCCACTCCTTTCGAGCTATGCTTGATGTCTTTCAATATAATAAATGGAAATGGTCTTTCATGGTATCTAATTATTTAACAAACAAAATATTCTAGATTAGGTCACTACGTTCATGAATTCCCCCACCATCCACTTCTCCACCGTCTCCTTCAATTTCTGCTCATAGTTGATCAACGTCTTCTGTGTGGCCCATGCAATATGAGGTGTCAGAACCAGGTTCAGATCCTCAGTGCCTTCAGCCAGCAGAGCACTGTTCTCCAGCCCAGCAGGTTCCTTCTCAAACACATCAGTTGCAGCACCGGTGATGCGGTTCTCCTGCAATGCTCGGACAAGTGCCACTTCATCCATCACTCCTCCCCTCGAGACATTGACCAAAACCGCATGGGGCGACATGGCTTCAAATTCAGCCGTCGATAGCAGATTCCGCGTCGAAGGAGCAAGGGGAACTGCAATGAAAATCACTGTGCTCTGCCTAATCACCTCGTCGAAGGAAACCCTCTCCACATTGTCGTCTGCGTGATTCGGTGTGCTCGCATCACCAAGTGCTTTGCGCCCTGCGATAATAACCTTCATACCCAGCCCACGGGCTAATTGGGCGATCCGCTTTCCTGAATTTGAGTCAGCCAATGTAAATCCAAGCGAAGTGCAACCCATGGATCGCCCGAAGCACGTACCGACAGCGCCATTTCCGATAATTCCGGCCACCTCCTCCTGGCAGGTCAGGGGTTGCGTTCCATCGTGATTCACACAATCGAAGACGAGGGTCTTTTTCCGGGTCCATTCGCCCGCGCGGGTCAATGTGTGCGCGCGCATAACTTTGCGGCGGACAGAAAAGTAAAGTCCAATTGCATGCTCGGAGACAGCCTCGGTGTTTGCTGCAGGACAGTTGCTCACAGTAATGCCCCTCTTTCTGCATGCTTCGAGATCCACGCAGTCGCTGCCTGCAGCAACTATCACGATCAATTTCAGAAACGGGGTCGCCTCGGGAGCTAGCGCCTCTGCATCAATTCGCAGCGCCGATAGAACTAAGATAGAGGCATCGTGTATCCGTTCGTGGAGTTCGGAGAGCGATGTCTGTCCGTAGATTGTTGTGGTGTGAGTATAAGGGGCGGGTAATTCGAACTTGGGGATTCTGATGAAATCGCCCTGCAGGGCCACGATGTGGTGGTCCGTAGGAGACGAGGGAGGTGCCATGATGATTTGCAGATTTCGCCGGGGACTGAAAATAAAAGAGGGTAGGCCAGTCAAGTTATATGTCGGTCCCGCCGTTGAGTACAAACTGCGCGCCTTGCCATTGACAGCGACCCACTGCAACTCCAAGCGATAAGAGCAGCTCAGAAACATGCGCTCGGATCTCAGCCGACATCCCCCACATTGATCACTTTCCATTACTTTGACAAGTGATAAGGCACGAGGCAAGTTATCTACCTAATATCTAGATCACCCTATATACTTAACTATGTAACTGCAGGACTTCGGCTAACTTCTACTAGTAAAATAAGTAGACAATCTATCTGGATTACTCCACATTAATTCTGAAGGCTACAGCACCGCTTCCGGCCGAGGCTCGCGAAGGAACCCTTCAAAGTATTTGGTCACGCCGGCCACGTCGTCGAGCTCTCCAATCCATCCAATGTACTGATCGGGCCGTAAAGCCACCATGGCACCCCTTGATCTGTCCACTCCCCAGATCTCATATGCGTTGCCTTTGCACTGTTCATCCCAGAAGCACTCACTGTCACTCCAGACCTTGGTATAGTCCCAGCCAGTGGTCTCATCGAACTGGTGCAGAACTGGGGGGAAGTCGCTCAGTTCAACATCATCCAGCGGAGCACTGTGGATTGCCTTGACCTCGATGACAGAGTCGAGCTTTTGCTTGGGGGGCGTGAAGCGTTTCTGAAGCGCCGACAAATCCTCATTGAGAGCCAATATACGACTCTTCTGGTCTTCCAGCCGGCAGTCTCCGACCAGAAGCAGAACCCGAAAACGGCCATCGCTGTTTAGGAGCCTTGAAGTCCACCATGGCTGACCATCTGCTTGCTTGCAAATAAGTGCCTGGGGAAATCTTTCTCCTGCTGTCAGGTGCTTGGCCACTGGTGTACTGTCCTTGTCTACTATGAGGCTCGCCTTGTAGAACGATACATGGCCCTCGGCGAACATCTCATTTTCGCGAAAAACATCTTGCATGGCCTGGATGTCTTCTGGGTTAGCTTCCGGAAGACCCTCGAGTTCAAGCTGATCCTGCTTTTTCTTCTGCTTCAGGAAGAACGCAGCCCATTTCTGGTCGAATTCAAGGAGCATCTTGGCGAGCTGATGACGCTCTGACTTGTAGGTACCGAGGATTGAAGGAGGCGCCATCTCCTTCACAACCAACGCCAATTTCCAACCGAGATTGAAACCGTCTTGAATGCTCATGTTCATTCCCAGCCCAATTTTAGGGCTGTGGGTATGGACGGCATCCCCAACGAGATACATGCGTCCTTTGTTGACGGCGGGCGCGAGTCTCCGACCGACCTATAATTTGTTAACCAGCCATCACCAAGGATTCGATCTGGAAAGCGAATGATGGAGTGTACCTGATAGGCGGCCCACCAGTGACAGATCTTGAAGTCGAAGGAGAAGGGTGACATGATGCTCTTCACCCTTTCACGGAGCATGTCCAGAGTCACCGCCGACCGATCGAAAGAAGGCGTTATCTCGTCTTCCTCTTGCAAAGGGACATAGAAGCGCACCACATTGTTTTCTCTCGTGATTACAAGCAGATGCCCGTGCGGACTGTCAATGGAAGACGGCCAGCGGATGTCCGCTGTGGTTCGACGTTAGAGGTCTTTCATTCCATACCAGGTGTTGAACTTACGGAAATCCGTGATTGGAACCACATCCATAACTCCCCTAAGACATGCATATCAGCTACAGTCGATTAAGAAATGGTGTAGTAGGTTACCATATATGATCTGTGTGGGATCCCTCGAAGGGGATATTCAACTGTTTCCTCGTCCAGCTGTGCGCCCCATCACAGCCAATGAGATACTTGGCCCGAACTGTCTCGATTGTCCCAACATCGTGCTTGCGTTTTGGGGCCAGGTCCTCCAGGTCATCCCGGGCTGGGCGGTAGGGTGTAGTACCCGGGTTAGGAATTGGGGTTGCTTCTTCCTCACTTAGAGTCCTCAGCTTGATCGTGATGGGGTATGCCTGGGGATCATTCTCAAGGCTCTCATCATAGGTCAGTGACTCTCCCATGACGCCTCTTTCAACGTCGATACTGGACGAATCGCGGATAACATCAAGGAAAAACCGTTCGATGCGGCCTTGGGACAATAAGGCCATGCGATGCGGTGAGGATTTCCAGATTGTGCTTCGCAGTTGTCCAGCGCGCTTCAAACCCCCTTTTCCGTCCGGTCTCTAGTATCCATGATTAGTGACCACTCCCACCCACGTTGACTGTGCCTCTTACCCAATACTTCAGACCTGCTGCGTGGTATCCTTCTTGCAGGATCCTTTGGGCAATCCCCATACTGTCAAGTAGTTCGAGCGTTCGGCCCCTCAGGCCATCTGCGTGGCCTCGGAATATTTTCGTGCTACGCTTGTCGATGATGCGAGCGTTAATGCCATACTGCGCCATCCAGTAAGCAACAGCTAGACCCGATGGACCCGCACCAATGATGAGGCTGTGTCTGGGTCAGCAGTAGCGGCCGAGGAACGGACGGGAAGACTTGCACGTCGGTTGTAGATTCCGCTGAGACGGTCATGATGGGTGACGATAGAAGCGAAACGAGGATAGTCGGAATGATTTGAGTGTGTCGACATTTTCAAGTTGGAGATGACAGCTATCTGCCCTTTATACTACAGTGAGACTGCAGCATGCAGCATCCCGGTCGGACTATCACTCCTACATGCTAGTCGACACGGCCAATGGGGCCTTTGACTCTGCCGTCTTACCTCCACCACGCAGCTCGGAACGTTTATGTGTGAGCTCCAATAGGCAGCACGATTCAGCTAGCTCGGACCATTGCGATTAAGCCTCACAACGGGGTGAATCTCGCTGACAGAGGCGATAACTCGACGCATCACACATACAAGCCCTTGGTGTCATGGATCCGGAGATGCTGCCTGAGAAGGGTATTGCTGTCAAAAGCCAAGTCTGTTAAGCAGCGACGAAGAAGAGCTACACCCTTGGCAATCTGCTGGAGAGCCTCGAGGCCTTGGTCTCAATTCTGACGGATTCTCGGAAGAGCCGGGACTGTCACTCCAGTCACAGCTGTGTATGGGCTACTAGGAATTTTGATCAGCGATCAGACCGAGTCGACCAGGTCATAGCTTACTACAGCTTGCTTTCCTTCCGACCACCGAGAAACTAGCGTCTGTGGCGTTGGTGCAACTACACAGTAGGCGATGTCCGGTCCTACAGTCGCGTCGCAACCCCGCGCTGTGTCAGGCCGCCAGCCATGCGCCGCCGATACTACCATCCCTACTTCGCGTTTACCTGCATCAAATTATGTGATGTCTCCTGTATCAGTGTGGCTTTTACGGCATTAAGGTGACGGGTTGCAGCTAGGGAGGGTTGAAGACTCCTGGTCGCGATGACGAGTATTTGACTTAGGGCAAAGTATGATTATGTCTATCTTGAGCCCTTCTGAGCATCTCTTCCTCCTAGTATCTCCGGATCTGAGGTAAGCTGATTCTGACGTGGCCAAGACACCGACAGGGTTGACAGATATGGGGATGGTAGGAGAATCGGCATCCACCCCTGCGTGCCGTACAGTCCTTGCCATCCCTTCCCAGACCTCCTGGGCAGCGCAAGCTACGATCCAGGCTATGTAGGCATTTTATGTTCCACAGAAAACCAAGGCTAGAGGGCCATGTATGGAAGCTTTCTCCGCACCGTTTAGTCCGCCGGGGCCCCAGGCAGACTGAACCTACCCTTTGTGTTGTGGACGATCCATTCCGACGCGCCCACGAACTCCCATTGCATTCCACAACAATGAACATCAAGGAAAATCAGAAAAGTAACAGTCCTAGGAGTCGTGGATCCTTTCTTTGCCCGTGATATAAATCATGGCTTGATCCTCTGGGAGCAATTGTTCTTATTCTGCATCCCGTCATCCGCAACCTCTTGCATCCACCATATCGCTTGATCTTCGCCATGCATTTCTCCAGCGTAAGTTATCATTCATCCGTATGCCCAAAACATCTGTTGATTAGCTCAGCTCCTCGTCGCCTCGGCCCTCTGCCTGACCCCAGCCGTGTACGGCTACGGCGTGGCACAAGTCACAGTGAAGTCCCACGAAGATTGCGACCCTGGCGCTCCCCCCAATGACAAGCTTATTGGAGATGCCGAAACCACGTACGCCACCGAAGATACTTGCGAAAAGGCCAAGATCTCGCACAGCTTGTCGATCGACGCCTACTCGGTGAGCCTCCAAGATGTCACCAAGGATACCTCTGAGCGTTGCCATGGTCTGGGTGTCTATGCCAATGACCAGTGCATTGGCGTGCCCAACGCAGTGGTTCCTTTCTACCCGGGACAGGAGGATGCCGAGAGCGGGTGCATCCCAGATGACCCGTTCGACAAATACGTCTACGTCCGGCTGCTGTGTGATGGGGGTGACGGTAACAAGGATGACCTGAAGAAGGTGGAATCGCACAACCCTGCCGAAGACCTCGCCAACGACCCCAACGATACCCAGGACAATGGCGGCGGCAACATCCTCGGCGGACTTGGCCTCGGTCTGTAGACGGGTCAAAGTGTGAGCGCTAGCCATGGGCTGGACATGTACGGGTTGAAGTGGAGGTTGCCATGACTTACTGGGTTATAACCAATGTAGTCTAGAAAATAATAATGTTAATCTACCAGATTAAACTCTGCAGCTTTGTATACAGTAGAGGCTGAATCCATCAACAGTTCCACCTAGAGCATAATCCCCACCACTGACTACGGAGCCGCCCTCCTATGCAACTCAATTCTAAGCGAAGCATGTAACCATAGTAGCACAACAACAAACAATAACCCCCTATCTACTCTGTACCAATGAGCTAGACTACATCCAGCGCAGATCCGTAGATCACCCCCAAGACTCCAATCACACACAGGTAAACCCTCTCAGGAATGCGGATACAGTATCCAGCCATCCACAACTGGCAATTGACATATCCACATCCACGCCCAGGAATGCTGAATGCTAGCCACTCCCGACGCCAATAACTCCTTCCTATTTACATGCATACTCATTCTTAGCAACTATATTCTTCGCGTAGACATGTGTAGACGTGTAAATCAGCGGCTGGTAGAAGTTGCCAGAGGGGAAGGATAGTAGTATATAAGGATGTAGATGGCTCTAAATAACTGACGAGTACTACTACTACTATCATCATCGTTCAGCTTCATTTTAATCCAGTCCAATTGAACTCATCCTCGAATCCAAACATCTACTTCATCTCTACTCACTCCTACTAAAAGAACCCTAACATCGAACAAGGAACCCAACCCCAACAATGCGCCACCACCTCACCACTATCACCCTCCTATCCCTAACCCTATCAACAACAGCAACCGCCGCCTCCACCATCGCCAACATCCACCCTGTCTTCCACAATACATGCCCTCCCTCCCCACCACCAGCAGTACACTTATCCCCCCGCGCCCACCAACACATCCCCCTCCAACTCCACGAAGGAACATGCCACCCGATCCCCATAACATCCACGCATGTATCCTTCGACACGCAGATCGAGCAATTCGTATCTCCTGCTCCTAATGGCGATGACAACAATAACAAGGATCTCAACGGAGAAGAAGAAAAAGAAGGAGGGGGAATACCCCAACATTGCAACGTGACCATGCACGAACAGCCCGGGTGCGTGGATCAGCCGTTCCTGGCGCAAAGTGTCCATGCGGGGGAGTTTGGTCGGTGGGTGGGGAGTGCCTGTGCTGGACATCATTATCCTCGTCCGAAGTATCCGATTGTGAGGGGGAGGGATTCTCGGAGTGAAGGGGACGGGGCTGGGAATGGGAAGGGGAATGGGAATGTGTGGGTGTTGTTGGAGTGTGCGGATGCTTCTGCTTCTCCTTCTGGGAATGGGGATGTTCATGGTGTCAATCAGGTTCAAGGTGGGGATGGTGATGCTGCGCAGCAGCAGGATAATAAGGAAGAGGATAAAGTGGGAGGTGTTATGCATGGGGGTATGGTTAGCGCTACGTCTGCAGCGGGTGCGAATGGGACTGCAGGTGCAGGGAATAGCACCACGTCTGGTTCTGCTTCGTTGCATGCTGCGATGAGTAACAGCACGGGAGTCAACAGCACGTCTAGTTCTTTGGTGCATGCTCCGCTGAACCAGACGGGGTCGTGGAGGCTGATGCCGCGGAGGAAGAGGGGGAGGTTCTCGATTGTCTGATTGAGTTTGTTTCGGATGCGATCATGTCTTATGATAAAATGTCTCTCATGCTTGGGTGATTGTTATTAGCAATTACAGAATGAATTGAACGATATACATGCTAAAACCTTGACGAGATGCCAGGAAATATCAAGTAGCAGTCAATGTATGCACACCGAACACTTGGTACGCAATAATGATACAATAAATCGTTCAAAGCTAGCTACAGCCAGACTAGAAACCAAAGCTGTCAAGCAACGAGTTGGCGTCTGGCTCTTGGAATGTCGTTGGAGGTGGCTTCGGTTTCGGTTTCGGTGCTGCCGCAGCTTGGATACTCTGTTGCAAGCTCTCGCGGATCGGCAGGTCCGCAACGACCAGACTGCTACGTCGGCGCAGCATCTTGCGATAATCTACCCCATCATGCAAATCGAGTGGCCCCTCCTTGGCTGGTTGTGGTGAAGGGGGTCCTCCCAGGAACTCCCAGTGGCGTACCAGATCTAGGGCCAGGAGATCGCATCCCATGCGGTCGTACAGACGAGCATTGCGGATGACGAAACTCCACTCGGACTGCGCGGATACTTTAGATGCTCCTTTCAGCGTCTGTAGTGTCTTCTCACGGAGTTGCTTGTACAGGACAACCAATGCAGGGTCGTTGGAAAGATACGACTTGGCTTGCAAGGGTATCATCCCTGGGCTGCCTGGAGACGCTGGCGTCTCGGGGATAAGTGACTCAACCGGGGACTAGGAATAACATTAGTATTTTTCATTTTACAGTCACGGATATACTCACAATCAGCGATCGGACTGCCATTCCACGGCGGCCCAACATCCAGAAAGCCCACGATGCCATCCACCGGTTTCCATCAGTGGCAGCCTCAGGGAGCACTCTTTCTTCCAGGATCTCCTTCAACACTGGACCGTCATCTCCCTCATAGGCACGCGTGATGGCAATAGCAAGCTGGGGATCGCCAACCTGGTTCAGGCACACAAAAGCAGCGTCGCGCAAATGGTCCGCAAGAAGGAAGAAGGCGGCAGCATATTCTATACCGCGTTAGTTGAAGTTCCAGGTTCAGTTCTATAATACGCACCAAATCTTCGCTTTCCAAGCAGAGCATATGCATTCTTCAATGCCGACGTTTTCCACCGCTCTTCCTGGAAGTTATTGGCAAGCAGTCGTTGTGTTGCACCTTGTTCACGATGCCAATGCGCCATCCGCCAGAGACCCTGAAGGACGTTTTTCTTCCTCAGGGCGATATAGTACAACGAACAGTCGATGGGGTTCTTCTCTTCCGATTTAGTATACTCGTTCCGAGCAACGACTTCCAGTTGCGCCCGCTGACACTGTTAGCACAATCCGATCACTACCCAGAGATGAATTCTTACCACAGCAGTAGGATTCGACAACCACATGAACATCCCACTTTCCCTGGCCGCTTTCCATGTCATCTTGCCACCAAATTGTCTTGATGCAAGGTCGACTAAGATGTCCTGGCTGCCGCTATGGAACGCCCAGACAATTTCTCGCCAGGATACCGTGTCTTTGTTTGCCACTCCTTGGGACCTGCGTAGCATATGCTGACGGAAGAAGAGGAGATATCGCGCAGCATTGTCATCCATTGAGCGGCGATGCTTCTCCACAGTTGCAACACACTCAATTGTGTCCACCAAGCGGAATTGCTCTTGGCTGGAAAGCTGGGGCAGGGTAAACCGCGCCAGGTTCTCATTGAGTAACAGGGCTGTATCCTCATCCACTACGGTCGACTCTTCATCCATGTTGAGATCGGCATATGAGGAATCTATTCCTTTAGAGGTGGCTCGTTGGGGGGTCTAATAGGTTAGCTGCGTAATTGCGTGGCTATCATATAGGTCCTTACATCATGTTCAAGGTAAAAGCTTTCCAGGGGCATGTCCAGAAAGCCATCAATGTCATCACCTTCCGTGTAGAACTTGAGTATGCGATGAAGATTTAGCAAGACCGCATGTACCAGGTTGCTTTTGCCGCTCAGAATGCACTGCGCCAGGAACTGGGGGTGGAAAACGGGCAGCGGTCCATTCAGCCGGCTCACAACCTCGAAGAGATCGACGGTAGAAGAGCCGCGAGCTGGTATACGCAACTGAGATATCAGATGATCGGAACTTTCGATTTCGTTCCCATACACGAAGAGCTGATTTCCGGCTCCTATGGCGAGACAGCCATTGCTAAGCCAGCATGAATCTCCGATAGGATGAGGAGTAAGGTCGCGGATCCAGATTTCGCGGATCTGTGTCCACGACGGGCGCGAGTCAAGGTAGTCATATCGCAGCTGGGATAACAGAATGACTTTGTGGGGAAACCCAACCGCTAGGATAGACTGCATGTCTGGTGTTGACGTCCAATCCAAATCACGGATGATGTCGCCTTGTGAGAAATGTTCTTCATACTCTAGCTGCGCATCGTTCATATCCCATATCGTCAAATGCGTGCGGTCTTCATCCACAAGCGCTGCTTTCTTGATGGAGCTCCCGCTCGCGAGCGACGGGTTCTTGATGCCTGTCTCTACGGTCGAAGTCAAGAGCCATTCGACGCGGCTCTTCTCTTTGTCAATCTTAGCCGTCCAGGTGCGGACAATGCCAGTCTTGGTATATGAAAGTGCAATATCTGGCGAAAAGAGGTCAAAGAAGCCTGGCATCTCGGCTTTGCGGCCGGCTGGGTCGACAGGCAAGATATAAGCCATGTCCTCATCCAACCCCAGATGGAATGTACAGAACTTCCGCAGCTGACATTGAGTCCCATCCGCTGTTCCGTTGGTCTGCTTAGAGGTCGGCAGTTGAAACTCCCAAGCAATTCCGTCCATGCTCGCGCCAATAGTTGCTACGTAGACAACCCCATTCTGCTCTGCTGTAGGGATAGGCAAGACACACAGTGGCTTACTTGATAATTCAAACGTTGTGGCCGCCAGCTTCTTGGCATGAAATGGACGGATATCCCAGAAGGAGATTCCGTTGTGATGGAGGTTGACCAGAAAGTCGCCGTCTTCTAGCACGCAACTGCGATGTATATGTTCGTCAGAGAACAGCTCGCTCTGTCGAAGAAGCGCCGTACCACTCTCTCGCTGCTTTTGCCTCCAAATCAACGCCTTGTTATCATCCGTACGCGAGGCAAGCGTGTGGCCAATGGCATTACGAACGATCTTCTTTATGGGGCCATTGTGGCCGGTCCATGACGCCTTCATAGACACCCGGTTTTTGCGCGGAGCAGGATCAAAAAGCACATCTACTGGGGAATCGAACCACTCGATCCGGCCGTCAAAGTGATGCACTAGAATGCTGATGGAGTCGCCTGGTTCTGCACCCTGGAATGCATGCAGCTGGGCATAGTCTTCTTCCGGAGAGACACCGGGCATGAACGCGAAGTCCAGGCCTTCCACGTGTAGAATATTGAACATGTGCATTTCGGGTTTGACCTTGGACCCAACATCTTCCAGGGCCCAGGCTGACATATGCCCTTGACCATCAATCACGACACAGACTTCGGGGCTCTTATTCGCGACTTCGATGATATGTTCCAGAGTGTGATTATCCTTGTTCCCCGTACTTCTCTGCACAGCTCGCTCAGTAGCCATGCAAAAGTCCCGACTGTCCACAATGAAGCCATATCGTCGGGTCGGATCGCTCTTGTCGGTCGCATGTCTTGGCTGAACAGAAGCGGCCATATCAATTTGCGCCCATAGTTGCAAGGCGGTCGGCGCATGGTGATCCACGGTCGCCCACACTCGAATCTTATTGTCGGCGCATACGGTATAGAAGACATTGTCCATAGACTGCTCTCGATGGTACGGTCTTCGCCAATGTATCCCGGTAATGACTGTAGGGTGGGGAAGATATGACACCTCGAAGCGAATGTCCGTCCCGAATGCGAGTCGGCGCCATACTTTGGCCATGCGGTCGTAATGTCCAGTGGTGACAAGGAGAGTTGCATCGGGGGAGAAGCGCGCGAATTTAACGGGAGAAGCCAGCTTCTGCTTCCAAACTTGGCGCGGGGTATCGTTCAAGAACCAGAGAGTGAGGTGAGAATTGCCGAGAAGCAGCTCCTCGGAGGAGCCCCAGGACAGGGTACGAATAGTCTCATTGTCGTCTTCGCTGCGAAAGGTTTGAACTAGAGACCACTACCCCATAGATCCATCAGCATGTACTTCCCGTATAGCTTGTATTCTTCCATCTCATTGACCACGGACCTTCAAGGTTTCATGCTGGATGCCATACGGTTGGTAGATAAACACATCGGGTCCACCGCATACGGCGATCTTTCCGGAGAGCTCATCTATGGTGACAGCCTCCAGGGCGTCGGTATCGTCGACATAGATGGTTTGTAGGAGCTTGTGCGGACCGCCGAGGATAACTAGTGCATGGCCGGATATGTATGCCTGCGGAGAGAGTGCGCAGAAAGCGCCGAATCAGCGACATCCACGCTTATAGAACACCGGGGAAGCTGAAGAGGTTCATGCAGAGAGCTTACCACAACACGAAGTCCATCCCACAGCGCGGTGCTGTAAGCCTGGAGCTTCGTTGGGGGCCTCCCCGGCAGTACCGCTCGCATGGAGGCGGGTGGTTGTGGAGAGGTAGAATGCGTTGGATGCGCGGGGATGCGCTCACAATGGCGCTACACCATTGCCAGTGCGCAGTTATAGGAGCAAAAACTTAGTTGACAGCTGCGCAATGTGACGGGGTTTGCGAGAAAGACGCAAGTATAGAGCTGTATGCGGGTGGAGGGGACAGCTCACCTCGAAGATGCAAGAAGAGCATCCCCGATCGTCGGCCCCGTGATCCACACCGCCCAGACTCATTCATTCATCGTCATCAACCCCAACTGCTTGTTCGGATAGCCTCGGTCCTTATTTACTTTGAGTGATGTTTGGCTTTATGAAGGCATACAATTATATGGTGCTTTGCCACATTGTAGCTCCTGAGAAATATTCCCATCTAGTCCAATCAGCTCTTTCAGGGACATGTTATCCCCGGGGATCATACCTATTTAGATTAACCTCACTAATTAGGCTTGCGGGGATCCAGACTGCTGCAAAGTAAGCAGGGATGTTTGTGACCAACTAGTAATCAAATGTGATTGTGATTAGTTGTTGATAAAGCTACAGCTGCAAAGGACTCCCACTTATCAGTTGCTGGGCTGTGTTCTGATAATAGTAGAGCGGGGTGAGGATATATTATCACCTAAGGGACTGAATATACTACTTCACTATAGTACTTTATATTCCGTACATGGACGTGGAGATTCGCCTCTTGCTGGATATAATTCCAGTCATACTCCCAGCTTTACAACTTCGCATTTTTTGCTTTTAAAATTGCTTGTAGCCGCCACTCACATATGAAAAAGCGGTCTATCTACTACTCTGCAACTGCTTCTCATCTCATTCCCCCTACAACCCTAACCCCAACCCCAACCACCAACCAAACATGGACTTCGATCCTATCGCAGAAAGAAAACAAGAACAAAAAGCCACAGCCTGGCTCCATCTCTGGTCCAGCCGGCAGCCAGAGCTCCTATCAATGCACCTTGCCCACAAGCACCGACCAGCCAGCGGCAAACCCATCTCCGCATGCCTCTGGAAAAGCGGAGCATTCAACATCTGCTATCGAGTAAGATACAACAACAGCAACGAAGAACCAGATATCATCATCCGCTTCGCCGCTCTAGGAAGAGCCATCCTTCGCCGAGAAAAAGTCCAAGATGAAGTTGCCACAATGAACTACCTCCGCAAGACCACCTCGATCCCCATCCCCGAAGTATACGCCTCGGGGATCTGCTGGGCAGGTCCCTAGATTATCATGTCATTCATCGAAGGTGTACCACTATCTCAGCTGCTCAAGGACCATTCTTCTGCAGGACGACCAGTCCTAAACCCCCAAATAAGCAATCACAGCTTGAAGCACGCATACCGCGAAATGGCCATCCTAGTCCTCGAGCTTTCCAGAGTAGAATTCGACTCCATCGGCGCACTCGAAGAGACACAGCATGATTGCTTCAACATCACCAAACGACCTCTCACCTTCAACATGAACGAACTAATGGCCTCTGCAAACCTACCACTAGAAGTCTTCCCACCTCCCTCTGATATCTTCACTTCATCCACAGATTACCTCTACTCCCTAGCTACACAGCATCTCCTCCACCTTCGTCTACAACTACAAAAACCCCCCATCACCAACGAAGAAGACTTCCAGCGAAAACTGCTCGCTCGCTACCTATTCCTAAACCTAACCAAGAACCTCCACCTCACTAACCCCCATGGCCCCTTCCGTCTCTACTACGACGACTTCCGTCCCTCAAACGTACTCATAGATCTCAATACCTCTCGCGTCTCAGCCGTGATTGACTGGGAATTCACCTACGCTGCCCCAGCAGAGTTCACATACGTAGCGCCCTGGTGGCTTTTACTCCAGAGTCCGGAGGACTGGGAGGGGGATCTGCATCAATTCCTCGATCGGTATATTCCCCGGTTCAATGTGTTTTTGGAAGTATTGCGTGAGTGTGAAGACGAGTCGATTGGGCAGGGGCTTCTTTCTGAGTCCCGACGGTTGTCACCGAGGATGGGCGAGTCCTTGGACAATGGGCTATTTTGGGTGTGTCTTGCCGCGAGGTATAGTTCTATGTTTGATGAGATTTATTGGGAGTTTGTTGATCGGCGGTTTTATGGAGATTTGGGGTCTTTGCAGGATCGTGTACGGCTGTTGAGTGAGGAGCAGCGGCGGGAGATGGATGAGCTGGTGAGAGGTAAGTTGGGTCGGTGTGATAGGGGTGAAGATGAGTTTGAAGATCATTATCCGATTGATGTGTTACTTGAACTATGATTTCAGGTGTTTCACCAACATGAGGTGTATATTGTTCAATTATCCAAGCTGACAATAGCTAATCCGCACAATACCTGCCATGCAAAAAGGGTATCTATCATAACCTTCGCCCCAAAAAGCTGCACCATCCAAAACCCCAAAATAGACAAAGGGAACCAGAACAAAATGTACATAAAGTCCTATACAAGTATAACCCGGAAGGGTTTCACGTCCGTCGACCCGATGATCTTCTGCCATCAGAAGGAGACCCCGGTTCTTCATCCACGAACCGGACGCTAGTGCCCAGTGCGCTCGCTCGTCCAGTACGGCGTCTAGTCGAGTCGGTTCGAGGCAGAACAGTACCGACGCGCAAAAGTCGACTGGCAAATGGAGTGTAAGAGGGCGTCGCAGGAGTAGTGGAAACCTGCGCCATGGCCCGCGCTCTGGCGGCTCGTTTGGACGGCGAGGTGAGGAAGTTTGGTGTCGCCAACGGCGTAGTCGAGGCCAATTGAATTTGGCTGTTCGCGGCCACAGCTAGGTCGTTGGTCTTAAAGGGAGTAGTGGTTTGATACCAAGGATCGAAAATGCGTCGGTTCGGCTCGGCTTCGAAGGTCGCTCCATCATAGTTTCTCGTCGGACTTATCAGAGGCCCTGGTAAATCCCTCGACTCGGACTTCACGCGTGCTTTCTCCAGCCAGCTACGGAACATGCTTCGACAGTGCTTCCTTAGGTTTCGTTCCTTCATCGCCTCGGCGGTCTCGGAGAAGCTCTTGACCTGGAAGACACGGAAGCTGAGCTTCCGCAATTGGATATTGGCCTGGCCGAGGACATGCTCCCGATTCATGTTATTTGCTTGTTGCTCCTGGCGCTGATACACAAGCAAGGCCTCGACCCAGCGCGTCAATTGTTCGCCAACAATTTGGCGCGCATAATGATCATCGGCCGCATCGCAGTCCTGGAGGCGATTGAAGGTTTTCTCTTGCCATCGAGGTACAAGCTCGGACGCCATTGCCAAGCAGTGTTGCCGTGAGAATTGCAGGGCTTGCTGCTCCAGACCTGCCATATGTAAGGATCTGGAGTGCCAATGGGATAGAGCTTTCGATGCCAGATTGATCTTGATCTTCCTTCGAGTCTGGATATACGCTTGTTGGCGGCGCTTCTTGGCAGATTCAACTGTCGCGACACGCCATTTCTTAGTGAACTTGGTAGCCAGGAAGTAGTATCTGGCGGTATTAGCCCATCCCTCTATCTTGACCACATGCTGATACTTCGAACGCCAGGCCACAAGCGATTCCTGCGCTAAGCGTGGAGCGTAGAACTCAGAGGCAACTATCTCCCTCTCGCGTTGCAATGACAGCTGATACCGCCAGCGTTCCAGCTTGGATCGGAGCAAGTCTTCGTTTCGTTGCTCCTCAAATACCTCCGCACGGTCAAGCAATTCGGCATAAGTCCTCCGAACGTTAGTCACAAAGACCGAGAAGACTTCCCGCTTGATGCGCTGTTCCCTAATGCGCTGCATGAGACGATATCTCTCTGCTAAAATCCATTTGTACATCGCTTCGAGCTTGATACGCTCCTCAATTCGGGCATAGAGAGCCTGACAGCGAAGCTGATCATTCCACGTTGTCCACGCATTGCGTATAATCCGTTGCCGATCCATCTCCCGTGCCTGCTTCAGCATTTGAGCGCGATGCACCCACTGTGAGTACGCCGCTTGAAGGATATGTGTGTCCACCATTTTTGTAACATGGTTAGCAACCGGGGCTAAATGAGCTTGAGCCCTCCATTCTATCAGCTTCTCCTCCAGAATCTTGCGGCGCTCCGTCAGTGCTACTTGTTGCTCCCTCGCAATGACACCTTGAGTCCTTTCATGCCATAGTTGCATTACCGATCCCACAGCATGTTGCTTATTGCGGGCATCAATCTCATGAATGCACTCCCTGTTGGTTCGAAACTTGCGCAACCAGTACAACAGAGAGCGTCTCTTGAGGCAATAGTCGTACCACTGAGGGGCACGCTGTTCGCAGAAGCTCCAGAACCACTGCCAATAGAATGTGTGTTTCGACTTCTCCCTACTGATAACGAGCGCCTTCTCTTCCGCCTGTTTGACCTCTCTGGTCCTTTTTAGCCAGGCGGCAAAAGGTTTTCGCAGAGCGAAGCGCTGGGCTTTCATCTCATTGACTGCGGTGATCTCACGCCATGCATGGAAGTACTTGACGCTAAGGATATGTCGCCGAGCTGCAGATGTCCGAGCAAGTTCCTCTGCAGTCAGTTGCGCCCAGTGAGAGAACGCCTTGGTGAGGAGAAAGAGATCCCGAGCCCGTCCCGCGCGCTCTTCCAGATGTTTGAAGAATCTCTCCGTTCGCTCTTCCTGCCGTCTGTCGCGGATGATGGTATGCCACGTTTGAAACGCCTGTCGAAGCAAGGTGTTTCGGTCTCGATTTACGGCGACCATCTCCATATTATGGTGGCTCTGTCTGGCCTGTATCGCCCTCTTAACCCACTGCGTGAGAAGTCGACGGTTGATGGCCCGTTGGCGGTACATATTGAAAGTCGATGCATCCCGCAGCAGATCCGAAAGCGATGGCCTATATAGCATTTCCGGTGGCATCTCTGGCCGTTCGAGGGGACTAATGCTATCGTCACTGGAGGACACTGAAGATGATTGCTCTCCCTCTTCATCGGAGCCATTTGAGGATGTTTTCGAGCGCCGGGCTCGTGAGGCTTCCGCTATTCTCTCTGAGCGATCGCGGTCGACGGCAGACCGGGCATATAGTCCATTGGGAAGAGGCTTCTCGTCAGCCGGCGGCGGCTGAGCAGACGACGATTGCGCAGCCAGAAAGTCCATCCGACTCATGAGCCGGCGACCCACTTCGATAAATTGAGCCATCAATTGAGTTCTGTCGGGGGACTCCGCTTCTGGAGAGACCCGCGCATGCTTCGGGGACGGCGACGGCTTCGTGAACGGATACTCAGGCTTCCCAACTTGTATTCGCGACATGGACGACCGTGAGCTTGGGCGGTTGATGAAGCTTCTCTGAGTGGGATCGTCGCCAACATCGTACATGGAATTGAAGGACGCCCGCCTTCGCAGAGGTGTCTGTAGTTGTTTTTGTGGCTGTGGCTGCGTTGAGTCCTCCCGGGTGTCGCGTATCCTTCGCCTAGGCCTGCTTTCGATGGAGGGTACACTGTCCGGGTACGTCTCATCGTAGGTATCATCCTCGCCGCCGAATTCAATGACAATGCCCATTCGTTCGAGTAGGTTTTCGAATTTGTCGAAGAGCGACTCTCCTACGACATGTTTGCTTCCCATTTTGAGCAAGAAGCGCATACAGGCATAGCCTGGATCCGCGTCGACGCCATGTTCGGCAATAACCTCGTCGTAGGCCTTGAATAGCACACGGTACGGGAGTCGTTCGACTTCTGGATCCCTCTCCGCACGGGTAATGACTTGGTAGAGGAGGCCGACATCTGTGTTGAACAATAAGCAATCAGCATTTCGCAAAAGTAAACAGGACTATGAAGAAGTGTGGAGGGGGGCTAGTAATGCGACAGAGTATACCTTCATCGGTGAGCGCCGGGTCTTCATGGGACAAAGGTCTTCGCTGAAGGGGAACGGGAGGCATCGAACTGTCCGCGAACTAAGGCGCGTTTTTCGCATATGGCTCATGGAGACGGAACAGGGAATCATTAAGCATCGCGGAACAGGCACGAACACACACACACGGTCGGGGGTGGTGTTGCTAGGTGGGTTGTCAGAGGCCCACAGTGCTCCAGGCCGCAAAGTCAAGCTAAAGTCAAGTTAGACCGCAAGAGAGATCCCCAAATGGACCGGTGGGACCCAATGGCACGGCCGGGCGACAAGGCATTGACTTTTTATCAGTCAAAAAGCCAAGTTGTTTTTGCTTTGCTTTTGCTTTTCGTGTCGCGCCGGCGATGGGAATGTGCTGGGTCATGTGATGAGATTATGTAACGGGAGCTGGTCCAACAGTCACGCTTTGGATAGAAGAACAATCAATCACCTGTAGATAGTACATAAGTCTTTAACTCTCTGTGTGGCAAAGACACTGAGCAAGATGCCGTCCACAAAGACAAGACCCATTGAGAAGTTTGCAAAGGCTGCCTCGAAGTGCTCGGTCGAGGTATGATATGATATGAATCACCGAATCTGCTCGATCCAGCTGACAGACGGGCTTTGGGCTTTCAGGCCGCTGCGTATGGCAAATGCGTCGTTGCGGACTACAATGCCGTGCAAAAGGACATGTGCGCCAAGGAGTTCATGAAGCTCAAGGACTGCTTTCTGGTAGGAAGAAAACCCGCATCTCCGGGATGACTTCACCTGTAACATGGCTAATTCACGCTTGACAGGCGGCCTCGAAGAAAGTTTAATGGTGGACGATGGGTTGCAGGAGAACTACATGGTTTAGGCGCATTGGGCTGTTTGGCTTCTACTAGCATGTATGGCGGTGTCTGTATAGGAAAGGTCTCTACAGGTATATGTAAAAACTTATTATCATGAACGTGTGTAATTTTATTCATTCATCAACTAAACAAAAAGAAATGTCAAACATCGTAACTAGCGGGGATTGTATGGTCTAAGCTATCAAAATCTTATCTGTGTGAATTGATCAAACCTCTACAACTTGAGCAGACGCAACAGGAAAGTGGCCTTTTGTACTTCTTGCTCTTCTTGGATGATCATTCCCGGCTCCTCTCCGCTGGGCACCTTGCCGTCCACAAGCTCGTAGCGGTCGAGCGGTCTGCGCACAACCTTTTCGATGGCCTTGGCTTGCGTCTCAAACGCCTTGTTGATGCCCACATCCTCGGGATCCGACAGGACGGCATACTCCATCTTCACATCATCAGTGGGAACAAGACCCGCCTTCTTACGAAGACGCTGCAGACGGTTGATGATCTCACGGCCCAACCCTTGCTCGGCCAACTCGGGGTACAGGTTAGCGTCCAGGATGGTCAGCAAGTCGCTATCCGTGTTGGGTTCCATGTTGGCGGACGCGCTGTCC